TAAAGCATTTTAATACTCCAGGAATAAATTACAGTGGTCTCTCACTAGCTCGACAGATACTCTACCTCTAAGCTACCCTCCCAGTCCAGAAGGCTTCCTTTACAATCATGGAAACTATTCAGTTAAATCTTTACCAATGTATATAAACCTGTGCACTTCCCAGATAAGATCAAGAATTCAGCTCAGGAAAATACAATCTTTTAGGAACTTTCCATCTACTGATGTGCGTGAGATGTATTTAGATAAAACTAAGTGTTTGACTTTACTGTATTTTCTGAGTTTGAGGCAGTAGAACTTTCTCATCATTCAAATGAGTTTTTATCTCCTTTTTCAAATTCTTTCAAAGTTCAAAAGAATTGATAGAGATAGAGCATGCCAGAGAGGGAAGGGAGAGGAGAAGAGAGAACGAGAACCAGTGGAAACCAATGTTTTCCACTGTTATTTCCCGGTTTGTAAATGACCTCAGAAAATAGCCATAATTAATCTAACACTCTCTCTGGCTTCTTTTTTTTTTTCCACATCAACACATTTCAGAATGGCTACAACTGTTTTCACTCTTTCTTCCATCCACTTTGAACTCCTTTCCATAGGGATCACGAGTCTGGATGTTCAGTTCATTCTCACACCTAAACTTTTTTGCATTTGCATGTTTTAATACTAGTGTTTTTGTTACTGCTAGTATTCATTCCTATTATTAACCAAGGAAACTTTGAACTTTCCTGCAATGAGAACAACAATCCTAGTGCTCGGCTCCTCTTTCTCCATTTTCCAAAATCACACTTTGCCCTGGATTTCAGCAATCCACTCCAAAATCCCTCTCGAATATAAGTTTTATGTTTCCTACCTCCCAGTTCTTACAATATCACATCTAATTTACCAATTAATTTTGCTTAGAATCATTAATCTTGTCTTTTGTTTATGTTCAAAATCCTTTATCTCCCCAAAGTGCTTTCGATCGTTTTCTAAGCCTGTGTTATGTCTTATAACGTGCTTTGCAGGTTTGGAGTTTGTTGATAAATTAAGGTTCTCTATGTATTGAAATATCTTCCTTCAGCCTTCAAAGAGAAAGGTTTACTTGGCCAGGCTTAGCGTTTGTGGAAATTGCACCATTCATCAAGATAGCTCTGTGTAAACCTTTCTTCCCAATTCACATGTACAAATGCTAAGGGTAAGATTTAAGATCATTCTAAGCTTCTCTTTGCAAAATTTTAAATTGCCTTTAACCTCCTTGTCTTAGCGCATAAAACCTTTGCCAGTGGGTGTCTTAGAGAAAGCAGAAAGATGAGTTTGTCGGGTTGGGTGGGTCACTGGTTGGTTGTTTTTTTCTGTTGTGTTTTTTGGTCTGTTTTCTAGGATTGGTCAAAAGAATATCATGGGGGAGAAACACAACTTTGGACTCCGACCAATCTGAATTAGAATTTCAGCACTGTCATCTTTTAGTTGCATGAGCCCATCTCCTTCATCTCCCTGGGTCTTGTGGATTGAGGTTGTGTGTGTGAGGAACCTGGTACAGCTGCACTGACAGCCATCTGCCTGGAACCCATGATCTAGTTGTGTAACCTCGAACAAGTTACTTAAGTGACATTTCTAGACCTCAGTGATTTCTTATACAAAATGAGATAATCAAAGTACTTCGCAGAACTGTAAAATTGTGTAAACTTAATGTAGCAAAGTACCTGGAACTATGACTTTCATTTGGTAAGCACTGTGCATGTCAAACTATCACTATTATTATTATCATTATCACTACTTTTATTACCATTATCACTATTAACTATGTGTCTATCAATATCCCTGCTGCAGCTGTAGGAAACTTTCCTGAGCTCAGCACATGCTTCGCAGAGTAGGTAATGAGTACCTGCCTTGCTGAATTATTCATTCTGACATGGCTCATCTGGGAGAGGGCCTCTATGTCCACAATTGTTCATACTCTTCACCCTCTTCTTACTTTAGGGGCTTTGCTTTCTCAACTATTGCATCATCTACAAAATTTACCCACAACTCCCATACCTTTATAATCTCACATTTGTTCATTTTTGGACATGACATCAGCTCCAAACAGTTTACAAGGTCAGCCAGTTTCTCGGTCCCTTCTCAACATTGTCTCCAATATCTTACTTTATCCAGTGCTTTATAAGGAATCTAAAATTTATTGTGAATATTTGCCCAAAGCCATCTTAGAATTAAAAGAAAAATCTATACAAAAAGCTTACCACAGAGCCAGGTACTTAGAAATAATCTAATAAATATTAGCATTGCTATTATTAAATATTTTATATAAATTATCTAATTTTATTCCTGCAGTGAATAACTCTATGAGAAAAAAGATCTCAATTCCATATGTGAAACAACTGATATTCAGAGAAATAAACAGAGTAAGATCACAATTTACTCATAAGAGAGAGGAAGAAGAGATTCAAACTATGGTCTATCTTATCCCAAAACACTATTTCCACTATATTTGAAGGGCCTTCACCATTTCTTCGTTCACTTTTTTCCAATTTTAGTACATGTGCTGCCGAAGCGAGCACATCTTTCACTTTTTTCATAACAAGTTTGGACTTATTCCCATTTCCTTATCAGTCTTTGGGTGGGAATATTACTTCCTTAGTTAATATGAGCATTCTCCCTGAGATCTGTTGGGGTCTCTCCAAATTTACTTACATTCGGGGTCAAACCCTTGGAAACTGAGCAAAAAACCCCAGGCTCCTGCTTTTCTTAACACATGTTTACAAAGCTCTAAAGTCAAATAGTCACAGGTTGGGATCCCAGCTCTGCATAGACTGGCTGCTGGGCTTGTTGTGTGTCCATCTTCACTTGTCCTGCAATAACTCCAGGAAAGAGGTGGTTTAGTGGCCCAGTTGGTAGCTGACAGACAGGCCGAGAGGGGCTGCAAGCTTAGTGCATGCACAGCGCGGCATGATGAGGGCCCCAGTACATGCCCAGGGCTCAGTCCTTCTCTCTGAGCCACAACAGGGATCCTTAGAGTAAGGAAACCGCCCCTGCCCCAACACACACGCTCAGACACCCACATGCACACACACACACACACAGACCCTGCTTTGCAACAGCCCATTCTTCGTTTCTGCCGCTTCCTCCAGCCCATCATGGATTTTGATTTTTCCTTGATGTGTTTTCACTCAGAGACTGGGCACCTTGTAGACTCTCCTGCGGCTACACGGTATCATTCTACACCCTGTTATCATGGAGAAGCCCAACAGAAAACAGCCACAGCTGCACATTCTTGGGCTTCTGCTTCATATTATGAAAGTTCAAGAGAAACCATCCCTGAGTCATTAGCATATTAACTGTTGTGCAAGAAAGATCTGAAGTAACCAAGGCAAATTGTCAGCATCTCCTCAACCTGATTGGTGGCACACAGGTGTCATATGATTTCCCATGCTTCTCTGTAACTTGAAATAGCTCATAAATTAAGTGAAAAATAACTGTTAATAGAAAAGACTGTGTCATCTTTTAAAAATCATGAACAGGGCCGGGGATTTAGTTCAGTGGTTTCGGCGCCGGCTGCGTAAGCACAAGGACCTGAGTTCGATCCCCAGTACCAAAAAAAAAAAATCACAAACAAAATATGGCTGTTCTTACAGTGTTCCTACTCACAGAATGAAAATATTTGTTGCATATTGGAAAACAAGTAAACACAGCCAAGTACTTCGATACCTAATTACACCCCTAGCAGATTAGTTACTCCTGGTTATTTCCTCCAAGGATTTGACATGTACACACTCTGCTCCTCTGCCTAGGGATGCCAGGGTCATCCTCTGCAATTAAAAGACTGCCTGTAGAATGGGTACCAAAGCATGGGGACAGTCTGGAGATGGCCAGAGGGTATCAATAATCATATGTTAGGGAACCACACAGAAAGGCGTTCTCCACCATCTTTCTCAAGCTAAGATGCATGCTCACCAGCATCGAGGGCAGATGTGCTTTAACCACGCTTAATAAACTGATGAATAAATTTGGAGTTTCACCACACTGTTTTACAAGGAGACATCTGTCATAGAAATAGCACACCAACTCCCTGTAGGGAAATCTACATCGAAAATCAAACTATAATCACAAATTTGCATGACTCACACAGCATAAGAAAAGACGTTGTTAGGTGCTTCTGCTGAATATAATAGTACCAAGCTCCATGCCTGATGCCTCCATCTGTGTACACCAGAAGAGACCAATAAAACAAAGTCCAAAGAATTCATTAGCCAAAACTCTCTCCTCTGGCCTGTATGAGCCCCAGTGACCCTCATATTTCTATACTTTAATGGCCTCATATGCCTCTATTGGAATTGAGAGTTTGTCTCATTAAAGATGCTTATATACTCAATATTACAGCAGGTCTTACAGGCCAGTGTCATCTATAGAAACAATTCTACCTATTTTTTATCTTAGAGCTCATGAAAGGTTTTAACTTAGGTTGAGTCGTAGATCATGCGCTCCTTACAAAAGCCCATGATATAATTCACAACAAATATCTCACAACAAATAGGTAAAGAAAGAGAGCTCTCATTTTAAAGAAAAACACACATTTAAACTAATCATGCTAATCACTCACTTTGCAAATACAGTCATTCAGGACCTGGGAATTTTCTCCTACATATATTTTTCCACATTCAGTTTGAATTGCTTAAAGAAAATATCCCAAATGTCATTCATCAACCATCAGCCTCTACCACCACTTCCTTCACCAAGTCCACCACAAAGCTCATTTCCATATGACTCCAGCATATCCAAGCACCAAATGGACACCAGTATCTTATCATCTTCCCGTGACAATAATCGTACTAACCACTCTTAGTAAAGAACAGAAATAATTGTGCAAGCATTACATTTATACAACTACATGGTGCTTTGCTGTTAAAACAGGCCAGCAAACCCCACTTTTTTGTGACGTCACAAGGTTCTGGATAGCATAAGTCCCACATACAATCCTTAAAGTAAGACCTGCTCTAACATGTAGTGTGTGGTAAGTGTGTTTCACTCACCGCATACTGGAACTTTTCATTATATTCACGATCATTGGCTTTCACAATTCGCTCCACTTCTAAAGAGAAAGAGAAATCAGGTATGAAATTAAATCTTAGACCCTTAGAAACATATAACTTATTAAAATAATGTCATTTAGGTTACTTTGATTGTTGTCAAGTTCGCAATAATTCTTTTCTTTGAGATTCAAGGATGTTGGCTTTTGCCAGCCAAAATGTTGGAACCTGTGTTGGAAAAACCCAAGATGGAAACCTGAAATGTTTCTCATCATCTTTTTGATGCCAACTACAAAGCAAAACATCATGAGTCTCCAAACTCTGTCCCTGCTCAGAGCCACAAAGATCTTTTCTTTAAATTTCAGGTAGTTTCTAAAGGAGAAAGAGCCACTGAAAGCAAATGCACCCTGAGAAGGAGTTTTCTCACAAAGTTAAGAAAAAATACAAGCCAGGCACAGTGGCAAATGCCTGTGATTCCAGCACTGAAGGAGGCTGAGGCAGGAAGAATTCATGGTCAAGTCTACCTGGGCACTTTAGTAAGATCTTCCCTCAAAATAAAAAATAAAGGGGCCAGGGATTTAGCTCAGTGGTTTCGCCACCTGCTGCACAAGCTCAAGGACCCAAGTTCGATCTCTGGTACCAAAAAAAAAAAAAAAGGAGAGAAGCTTTGGGGCTGGGGATTTAGCTCAGTGGTTTCACTGCCTGCTGCGCATGCGCAGGGACCCAAGTTCAATCCCCAGTACCAAAAAAAAATAAATAAAATAAATAAAATAAAAATTAAAAATAAAACAGGCTGGAGATGTAACTCAGTGTGATGGTCCTGGGTTCAATCCCCAGAACCAACAGAAAAAGAAAACCACAGCAAAATAAACACATATGGAAGTGACCAGTGAGGTCACTGACCTTATAATCATAGAACCAGAGGTGATATTTCAAAATAACCCCGGCATATCAAAAGAAAGGCTAGGGCTGGGATGTAGCTTGATGGTAGAGCACTTGCTCTAACGTAATCAAGGCCATTGGTTTCATTCCTGGAAAATAAAAAATAAAATTTTAAGTAAAATTAAAGAGAAATGTTATATAATTAAGAGACCAAGATCTGCCTCTAACTGGAAGTAGACAAAAAATAAAATCTCTTCTAAAAGCAAATGCAAATACAGTACACACAAAAAAATAAGTGGGCAACAAGTCCAAACATTATGATAGTGCAGAAATAAATATTTGCAAAGAAAATACAGTGCCCATAAACACCAGCACTGCATGTTTTGTAGTGATGGTAGCAAGGTCTTTCTTGCCCCATATTTACTGGAGTGTTACCACCAGAGTTGATCAAAGACTCATGTCAGAATAGTGAGAGTTGTGGGAAGAGTCAGCAAATAATCACCAGATGTCCGTGTTGGAATCTGGTGGTAAGTAACTGTACCAGCTCACCTGGGGTCCCCTTAATTCTCTGAGTGACAAGTGTTAATAGAGAAGGCACATATAGCCTGAACTCCAAAAAGGAGACCAGGAGCTGTAAGGGACTTGGAGGCCCATGTTAGAAACAAGAAGACAGAGATGCGAAAAGCAGGAAGTAGAGGGGAAATGGGAAAGATGAGGGCAATGAAGAGGAAAAGAATAGACTATACTTTAGCACCCACACCCGCCCAATGGCCGGACACCAGGAATTGTAAGAACTATTTTTCCCAAAAGTCTAGGAGGAACCTAAATGTCTTCATGGCCCTTATAGCTCAACTCCCACACCTGAAGGTCATGTCTGAGGATTGCTCTAGACGAATGATATCTTGTATTTTGGGTCACAGTTGGGAGTCTACATTTGTAAGGGGTTTTATCTGTTTGCCACCCACCTATGTGATTTCCTTCTTGCCTGTCTAATAGAGTCAGCTACCTGGGATTGTTCCTGTTTTCCAATCTGACTCACCCAGCTGCTGATAAGGAAAATACTGGACTGATGTCAACAGCTGACCACCCCTGAGTTGGCAGGCATGACCCTATCATGTATAACTCTAAAAGCCACTACCCTCCAGGAAGCAACCTCTCAACCACCCACCTGAAAGAAATGCTTCAAACACTGGCTCTAAAACCACAACCCTTCCTTTTTGTTGATTCCCCAACAAAGAGCAAAAATGTCAAAGCCCAGGGTAGTACTTCAGAGGGTGAGATGACTTAAAAGCTGAAAAGTGTCAATAATATATTTACATATCCCTCCTTTAACCTAGGAATGGTAAAACTGTTGAGAGGAAAATGATGGATCATATTGGAAGGGTGGGGATAAAGTCTTCTTTCTGAACGGCAAATATTAACCTGGCCCCCTAGCACGCTGCACATAATTTGTAGATTAACTTTGGCTCCAAATCAAAAATCAGATATACCAATTTGAATATTCATTGGCCTTGGCTTAGATCATGCACATTCAGATGCTGATCATTTTTAAATTTTGCATTTGTATGAAGCACATCCAAGAGCAGAATTCTCTAGTTCTGTACCCAACTTTTCCTTCTCCAAGGACTAGAATCTTGACTCTACGAGCCAAATGGGAGCCATCTACCCAGCATCCTCATGTAATCACACACTATAATGACTGGGACCCGCTCTCTCCCAGCGTGGCCAAGTGATTCCTATGGTAGGTCATTTGGAACCCTCTTCTGGGTGTCTGCATTGCCTCTGTCCCATAAGACGTGGTAAGAGCCAGGAAATCCTCTTTCTGTGTCCAAATTCTTATGATTGGGCCTTAATCATTGTTTTTGTGTGCCCAGCACTGTTCCTTCTGAACTGGGCTTTCAAGGATTAATTTTGGCAGAAGATTTTGCATCCTTTCAGTAAGCTCTGCAAAATTCTGGCATCTGTTCTAAATCCCTACAGTTTTCTGCCTATGACCTGATCATGCTAGGCCTGAACTGCCTTAGCAGCAATTAGCTTTCTCCCATACGCTAGCGCAGTGTATGAGTGGCCATGAAGCCCTCTCAACAGCAAGTCTCATCCTGCAAGGAGAGGCTGCTAGAAATAAATCCCCCATAACAACTCCCACTGAGAAGGCTCAGAGCCTCCGTGACTTAATGCTTAGTATTTCTAGGCATCCTGGGGTCCCTCCAGATGCAATTTCAGTAATGAGAGGAAAGTGGTCACCAAGGAATTTCTGATTTACCAGTGTAACTTCACTCTTGCACCATCACTGAATTTGTTTGGCTCCAAAAACGGAGTAAAGTGATAGGTGAGGATACACAAAACACAGTAAGTCCGCATACTTGGTAGAATAAAAAAGCCAAAGAGCTTCCTGTCTAAGATGATAAAAGGAGTATACTGTTCACCTGCCTGCCTTCTGAAATCACAGAAAATGTGGGGTTTTTTAAGAACGAAAACATAACATTGCTAGAAAACAAAAGTTTGGCTAGCAGAGGTTGTATATTTTGAAGAAAGCTTAGAAAACAAACTAGGAAACAAAATGAGACCATTATGACTGGGGAGGGGGAGGGAGGAATAACTTCAGCCAACAGAATTGGAAGAGTGACCTTCCCAATGGAGCCCAGGGGTGCCTCAGATTCAGGGTCAGCAAAGGTGGGTGCCCAGGCCTCAGAGAGAAGCTTCTCCAACTCACTACGGCAGCTCTGGTGGACCCGGCCCCCTGCAAAGCCGGCCTTACCAGGCAGCTGTGGGATTTCCCAGGCTGCCTGCCCATCTACTGAAAGCCTCCCTTTCAGGTGCCTGCTTGCAGAAGGAGGCTGGCAGGGGAAAAGACCTTTGCAATGGTACTAATGCAATTAGTGCTTCACTTGTAAACACAAACCAGTAACCATAAGTCACCTGAGAAAACCCCTCAGCACAAAGAGAGGGATTCAAGGAGAAAAGATGACGCTGAAGTCAGTTGGGGAGAGGGGCTGAGTTTTCCTTTTCATTCTAATTAGCACCTTGCAGATATGCAAGAAGACATCCACGAAGCAAGAACAAGCCAATATGGGGCCGGGGATTTAGCTCAGTGGTTTCGCCGCCTGCCGCGCAAGCGCAAGGACCCGAGTTCGATCCCCGGTACCAAAAAAAAAAAGAACAAGCCAATATAAACAAAGGAAACAGAACAAAAATGAGTTCCAGGAAATTAAAAGCATTTAATGGACAAACTGGAGTAGATAAGATTGAAGAAATCTGTTAGAGTGTGTATCAAAGTAACAAAGACAAGGATAATAATATTAGGGTCCTCTTTCGTTCTCAAAAGTTGATTTCTGTAAGAAAGTAAAACTTAGGAGATGTGAACATAGGAAAAGGATGAAAAGAAATAAATACACAGAAGAAATGTCCAAAGAAAGACAATAGGTGAAAGGGCCACCAAATGCCAGTCAGGAGAGAAGCCAGATCTTCATAAAACTTTGAGCCCCCAGGACAAGGGAAAAATCCAAAAAATTTCTAGAAGGAAAAAAAATGGTTAACCCTAAAGACACAAGAATCAGACCAACATGAAATTTCTCATCATCGACAAGGTTCCTAGCAGACACTGTGGCAATGTTTCTGAACTTAAAATTTTATATCCAGGCAAATAAACAATCAACTGAGAATGGGGAAATAAAGACATTTTCAGACATCCAAAAGCATCTTCAAAATAACCACTCAAGAATGAGCAACAGAAAAACTAATGGCTCAAATTTTGAAATTAAAGTGGAGTAGGAGATATAGAAGCAAAGGCAATGATTTTCCAGAGTTAAGAATGACAATAAAAATGCGAGACATTATGGTCTACACACCTGCTCAAAGTGAACACAAATCCATAGAAAAAGTGAAGGCCTGTCTATTGCTCTGTGGTTCACAAAGTCTGTTAGCCAATAAATCCACTTCGCATGAAATGTAAAAGTATTCTAGCTCCTGGCTCAGGCATTCATCTCTGTAAGAAAGACTCATAAAGAAATCACCATTTGATATAAAGCACGTAAAGGTGAGTTTTTCAGAATTGTGTTTTTAACCTCCCTACGGACATTAGACCAAAACACAATTCAGAGGAGCCAATAATCGTGCCTCTGTGCTCATTCTTTACCACTCTGCTTAAATCTAGGAACGTATTTTAGGGTATGTGGATGAA